AAATTCTCCTCTTTTTGCTTGTTTGCAGGATGCTGGTGTTGGCGGCTTTCCTCGGACCTGCCTACATGCTCTCCTTGAGATCATTGAACTGGCAGTACAGGCTACACGTACCCAGGTCCTCCTGCCGCATTGTGTTGCCCTGCAGTGGGACGCAGCAGTAGCCTGGCAAATCCTCTACCATCTAGCCGCCTCACCCGTCACTTCAGTGCCCACACTGCGCTATCTGCGCGGCAATCACGACCTGGTGCAGCGGCACCTAACTACTGGTTTGACCAGTGCCTCTCTCCTTCAGGCCACGGCGTCAACTGAAACTACCGTCGGTAACAGTGAAGATATCAGCGACACAGCCCGAGGCAAGTGCGCACGGCGGATTATGTGGAGAGGGGCGCCTGTTCCCTGTTTTTGGCAATGATCTAATATGTACAATCATTTCACAAGCCAAGAAGTTAGGTCTTCATGTCTACTTAAATCGCATAAGTAGTCAAGTTTATTATAACAAGAAAGTTGTTACACACATTAGTCTTTATCCTTTCATATTTTATTCATGGTCAAAACTAGGTTTTGTCAGCCCCTGCACTTCATGTTTCTGACAGCTTACGCGTTCTTTCTCTTTATAGCTCTGCGAGCTCTCACTCTGAATCAGATGTCATGGCTACTTAAAATGACTGCAATTGAATTCCGCTCCTCATCATCTCAGAGGTCTTACCTCACGCGGCTCTTCAGAATTCTCTTCTCAGGTGCGTTACCACACCCACTCAGTACAATGCGATTTATTGCTCGTGGGTTTTCAGTGCTCCTATTTTCACGCAAAAGATGTATTAGTATATTTTCGGAACCTCGGAAGACCAACACTGTTTGCTGATGGTCCTCGGCTGTGCACGCCGTATGCGAACATAATTTTGAACTTGTTGTAACGATTATGTCCAGATCACTGACTGTTATGCCCTATAAAATAAGACCTCCCCGGCCGACACAACGGGCGCTTGGCTGAAACGGAGGTCAGATAGGTTCATGACTGCACTGAGTAGGCGCAATCTCGTACCTACTGACATACATATAATGAATTTGGTGGCAAACGTAAGCATAGGCCTCACACCGTCCAGTCCCAGCACCAGATGGCTGACCGGCTCAAATCGTCAACTGATGAATGTGAGGTGGCAAGAGAGAGTGCGCCAGGCACTAGAGGAATTCATCTTCAGCAAATTCCTCATTATAAGATGTCTACTATGTTTGTACCTATCGCAACGCGCTGAAAGTCGTGGCTTAGACAGTTGCCAACTGACGTCATGACTCGGTCTTTCTCCAGACTGAACGTCAGGCCGCAATGGCTTTCTAATATGGTCTTAAAGACATTCACTCGGGTGAGATTCAAGTCCCGTATGACAGCCTGGTACATGCTGCTGGGCAAGGTTGCGCGTGGCACGCATAAACATTTTTTTT